AAGCCAGTCGACACCAAGGTACTTGATGCCATCCGTGACTTGGAATGCCCCTACTGTAATACATTTGCTGTGAAGAAGTCATCGGCACCAGCCCATCTTGACAGGGCAAAGGAGTTCAATCTTCATGTACAGGCTGACGTGTTGTGGCTGGATTTGGACACCCTAGAGGATTTCCAGGACAAAAAGAAGAAAAACAAGAAGATTGGAATCCTAGTGATGGTGGATGAGGCATCCCGATATATGATGGCCCGCACCATACCAGATGAACAGTCACAGAGCCTGCAGAAAGCCTTCGAGAGGAGTTGGGTGAGACTTCACGGACCTCCAGGCAAGTTGTTTGTTGATGAGCATCCAGCCTTTGGTTCCGACAGCACTATGAGATGGGCAGAAGAGCACGGCATTGAGTTGCGCATCAGTCCAGGACAATCGCACACCAGAACAAGCTTGGTGGAGAGGCGGCATCAGCTCTTGAGAAAGAGTGTGCAAGTGTTCATGAAGGAGCATGGACTTCGTGATCTAGCGGGTCTACACGATGCTCTGAATTGGGTGGTACCATCCCTCAATGACCACACGTTTGTCAATGGGTTCACACCAACACAGTTGGCATTGGGTCGTCAGCCAAACTTGCCAGGATTGCTGTCAGATGAGAAGACTACAGTCAATCAACTTCAGATGGGAGAGCAAGAACGGCTTCATCGGCGACTCCAACTGAAGTTCTCGGCTCAGGCGGCATGCGCCAAGGCCGAAGTTGATGTGAAACTCAGGAGGGCTCTACTGAGGAAGTTCACCGGCAAAGATGAAGAATTACACCCTGGTGAGCGCTGTTTGTACTGGAGAGAGGCACCGGACAAGCAACATATAATTCAGTGGAGTGGACCTGCAATCGTGTTGGCAGTGGAACGCAACCCAGACAGCGGGACAGTCGCAGTTTACTGGCTTGCACACGGCACCTCCTTGCTTCGAGCTGGCCGTCAACACGTGAGGAAGATGCCTCGAGAAGAAGGCATGTTAGACGGAGAAAAGCGAGTACATCAATCACTCGCAGAGCTTCGACAGCGGAGGGTTGTGAGGATCTTAGATTTGAACAAGCTCAACCGCCGCTCGCTCAACGAGATTGACCCAGAGAACACAGATGATGAGGAGTTGTTGGACCCCATCCTCAGACAACAGCATGAGGAACCACCAGAACCTCACGCAGCCAGTGGCGCACCAGGTGGAGGAATCTTGGCCCTACCACCGCCACCAGATGAAACGAACAGACAGCAGCCACAGCCAGCAGCAAATGAAGTTGGAGATGACACTGTCCAAGCAGATGGTCAAGCGGACAGTGATGATCAGCTCGCTCGAGAGCGCGCAGTTCACAATGAGGCATTGATGAGACAGTTTCCGACTTCAGCTGCAGCACGTCCAACACCATCACCCATCGAGACAGACGTCATGATGAACCCAGAGGCATTACCACCAGTTCCAGATGATGATGACCTAATGTCACCAACAGTACCAGCAGCCTCAGTCGCACCAACAGAACCAGAGCCAGATCTCGAGATAGATCCAATTTTCAAGACACCAGTTGGCACAGAAACCTTTGAGCAGAAGAGGGCACGGTTGAATAAGCAGGAAACCTTGTGGATGAGACGACCTCCATCAACCAGCCAAGCTCGAGGTTCAAATGAGCCAAGTGATGAACCAAGAATTCCTCATGAACCACCAACACCAGGAGAGGGAGACACACAACACCTAGACAAGCGGCAGCGGACAGACGATTTCCTAGAGGAAGCATTCCATGTCGAGCTGACCTCAACCACCGAAGACAAGAAGTGTGTTGAAAGTCTCAATGACCTGGCAGAAGGATGGACCTATGACAGCAAGACACAGGAGTTCACTCTTGGCCCCACAACAGATTTTTGGAACTATGAGGACGGCTTTTTGGTGAGACATCACTGCTGGGCACGGGAGCAAACATTCCATTTGTCAGAAGCTAGTTTGCCAGAAGGGATCCACATGTCAGAATTGCAAACCTCACAAGGGTTGACAATGATACAAGGGCAACGGAAGATTTATGTCAACCAGAATGAGCCCTACATTGTTGGCAAGACACCATGGTTTGGCAAGACATTGTTCCCACTGACAAGACAAGCAGTTGAGAAAAGGAGGATGCCGTTTGCAGGTGACTTGGCGGAAAAGACGAAAGGCAAATGGTCAATCAGAGGCCGAGGTCACATCTGGACCGCCGTCGGAGTATCAAAGACTCGAAGAGCAAAAGATGATTTGAGAGAAAGCAAAATGACACTAGAAGACAGATTGGCATTCATTCACGGAAAGAAAGCTGAACTGTCATCCATCTTTGAGAATGGTGCGTGGGAGATTGAGACCAGCCCCGAGAACATTGACCACAGCCGTGTCATGAAAGCAAGATTTGTGCTGAAGTGGGTGACTGACAACGCAGGCAATCCAAAAGCAAAGGCAAGACTTGTACTACAAGGCTTTGCAGATCCGGATTTGCTACAGGGTGCATGGGAGACAAGCAGTCCCACGTTGTCAAGAACCAGCAGGCAGACCTTGTTGGCCATAGCATGCAATGAGCATTGGTCAAAGTTCACGGCAGATGTCAGCACAGCATTTTTGCAGGGAGATAAGCAAGCAAGGCTTTTGTGGTGTAGGATCCCAGCAGATGCATGCAAGTTGATGGGCTGTCCAGCAGGCACACACATGAAGCTGTTGAAACCGTTGTACGGTCAAGCAGACGCACCCCGTGCATGGTTCCAGGTGGCAAAGAGAAGACTTTGCAGTGTTGGGTACACCGTTCACGCATTGGACCATTGTCTGTTCCGGCTGCACAACCAATCGGGTCGCTTGGTATCCTTGATTGGATTACATGTTGATGATATGATCGGCGCAGGCGATGAAACAGATGAAGTGTACCTCAAGGCACGGGAGTCTCTCAAGAAGGAGTTCAATTTCAAACATTGGACGACAGAAGAAAAAGGTGAGTTGGAATTTTGCGGCAACAAGTTGACTGCATGTGAGAATGGTGCATGGAAACTGCAACAAGAAGAATACATGAAAAAGATCAAACCAATGACAACAACAGCAAAGAAGCAAGATGATGAACTACGTCCAGGCGAAGTCAGTTCTTTGCGAGGGTTGTTAGGAGCATTGCAGTGGGCATCCACACAGACATCCCCTCACATGTCAGCAAGCATTTCAATACTATGTGGAAACGTGAGTGGAGCGACACAGTCAGTGGCAGAGGCAGCAAACAAGACACTTCGTTTTGGCAAGAGCAATGCAGACATTGGCCTAACATTTCAACGGTTGGGACCATTGGAAGATTTGCGTCTTTTATCCATTTCGGATGCTGCTTGGGGTGTTCGATCAGATCATTTGAGCCAAGGAGGGTACTTCGTCCTCCTGACCCACAAGAAAGCACTTGAAGGTGAACCTGATCAACCCTATGTCATCATTGACTGGAGGTCATTCAAGCTTCCAAGAGTATCCCGCAGTTCATTGAATGCCGAAGCACAGTCATGTTCAGCTGCAGTCGATTCACTAGAGTTCGTGCACATCTTCTGGCAAGCATGTCATCAGGAAAACTTCAAGCTGGAACAGGTGAAAGACAACCAACGAGATCGAGACCACTTCCTGCCCAGCGCCTTGATCATAGATGCAAAAGTACTACACGATGCCATCAAGGCTGAAGTTCCTCAAATCAATGGTGACAAGAGGACCCAGACTGAATGCATGATAGTGAAGCAGAAGATGCAAAACCTCAAAACTCAGCTACGCTGGGTGTCGTCAGAAGTTCAGCTGTCAGATGGTTTGACGAAGATCCAAGCAAGACAGCTACTGGCCGACAGGTTGAGGACACATAGAATTTCGTTGATGGCTGACAGCACGTTTCAGGCGGCAAAACGCAAGACCATGCAGGAGAGAAGAGACAATGCCCGGAGGAACGCGATCAGTGTGAAAAAGAGTCTGACCATGATGATCATCGCAAATGAGCTGACACCGACAAGAGCTCAGGGAGAAGATGATGAAACAGGTTGGGACTTGACATTGTTGGTGATTGGTACATTGTTGTGCATTGGTGCTTTCCAAGTTGTTGGTTGGTTGATTGCATGTTGGCGGCAGCGAGCCCAACGAAACAACCCCACAGTAGAAGCCCAGAGTCAAACAGACCAAGATGAGCAACAACAGCAACCAGCACCACAAAGAAGAGAGACAAGCGACAGGCTTGAAGCCAGAATCACACAATACAAAGACTTCATCAGAAGAGGCAATGAGACCATGGACAGAGTGAGAAAAGAGAATGAGAGGCTAGAAGATCAATGCAAAGAGCTTGAGGCCCGATGCAGAGAGCTTGAGATAGAAATTCAAGCAAGAGATGTCAGGCAGAACCTGACAGATGAGAGACTTGATGAGCAGCAGCGCATGATCACACAGCTGGAACGAGACTTGGCAAATATCGCACAGCAAGCAGCATACCTCAACAACCACCTTGGTGGAATACCACAAACCGTGTACATCACAAGGCACGGACGGAAGTTCCACATCGATCCCCAGTGCTCGGCTCTGACCCAAACAACAGAGTTCAGAGACTATGACTACTGCTCAATGTGCGTGAACAGAGTCACTCCGGCTCACAGGCGACCGCATGGGTCCAGTGGTGGGACCTAGATTCCATGTTTGAAGTTGGAGGCAAGAAGCTTTTTGAGTGTCTTTTTCGAAAGAACGACCGGTGTGAGTTCATGGCCCATGAACTGATCATGATTGATCCGCCGCTCGCTTCATGCTCAATGGGTACCAAAAAGGGCCCTTGAGTCACATCGAAGGTCTACGCTGAAAAGAAGTTTCATGCTTCACGTTCCGTGTTTTTCCCTCGTAACTTCGAGCGTACTTGGGATTAGACTTGGTTTGCACACCCTGTCTTTCACAGTTACAGCTTGTGCTTCTGTATTTTAATTGCATGTTCTGAACTGGACCTTGTGGCCTTCTCACAGGACGAGAAGCCAGTCATGGGTGGTGTCAGACCCAGAGAGCCTAGGTTTTCCGATATGTTCTTGTGTTTCCCGGTGTCCGATGTGTCTTTGTCCTTCCTCTTTATTCAACTGACTTTTTATGTGGTCTCTTTGTTCTTTTTGTTCTTTCTTGCTGTCCTTCCCTTTTGCTTGTCATGTTCCAAGTAAGATGCATTTGAAGTCGGTTAACATGAACCTCCCAGGGGCTGGGGCGATGCCGCTGCCTGAGCCACGCAGGCGACGGAAGGAGTTGGAGCCTCAAAGTGATATTTCCAGATACGTGTTTGATCTTTGCTTTTTGAACGCTAGTAGGAGCAAGGACGCTACTAGGGGCTCCTGGCCTTACTACTAGGAGCAAGCCCGCTAGTAGGTTGAAGGCCATTACTCTTGGGTTGGAGGCCATCACTCTTAGGTTGGAGGCCATCGCTATCAGGTTCCTTTTGTTTTCTGTGTTTTTTTTGAAGGCCGTGGCCCAGCACCCTGCCTCCTTAATTAAGTAAGGAGTAGGGCCCACACTCCTAGGTAGGACGCAGGAGCGCTCACGCGTCTTCATATGATTAGTTCCTAGATGTTTGAAAAAAATCGATGCGTGTCATGTTGTGCTGTGTAGGTTTGCACCTAGAAACCCGTGTCCCAATCAGTATTGGGCGAGAGGTTAACCACCTAGCGCCGTGGAATCCATGGAGCCCGAAATCAGTCGGTTTATGTCGGTGAAAACACAATCCCGTCATGGAGCCCAGCCGAGAAATCGATGCCCTTCAGATGAAAAGTCCATCGGTGGTACACCTGCGCGTTGGCCACAAGTGAAGCAACCGGCAGCAACCCTCAACTGGCACACTTCAAGGGTGTTCGTCTTGAAAAAGAAAGCTAAGAGAAAATGAATACGTAGAGAAAACATGCAAACACCGAAGACAATGACTGTCATTTTTGTTAGAATAAGTTTGGTTCACTGTGCTAGGTAGGATGGTCTTAGTTGTTTTGAGAGAGACCAATTGAGAGAGAGAGAGAGGGAGTGGCCAAGTGTGGGAGATTACACGCCCTTTTGAAGAGTGTAGTAACAAGAAGCTACTAGGAGCAAGGGCATCGCTACTAGGAGCAAGGACGCTACTAGTAGCTCCTTGCATTGCTACTAGTAACAAGAAGTTATTTTGCCGATAGCTCCGATGTGCTCAGTGGCAAGCGGCGCACAAAGAAGGGCGAGGCATGAGCCTCGGAACGGGCACTCGATCCATCGAGGAAAGGGCCTTTGGCCTTCGGATCGTGGCGCGCAGGAAAGAGTTTTGCAGGTGATATGATGTGATTCTTCATTGAAGCAGCTCTCACAACTGGTTAAATCGTGTTTAATTGGTTTGGACCGGTTTGGATTGCAGGTAAATCAAGCGGGGCAACTCTCGCGCCACCAGTCACTACCTAGTTGCTTCCAAGAAGTTGGTCCAGGAATACTTGGTGAAACGCAACAAGAGCACTCGCTACACCTTCCATTGGATGTAGCCGGTGATAGTTGATCATAGAAATAACTCTCACAGAAAGCTATCTTGTTGGTAGTAAGAATAGGTCTTATGATCATGATTCTCTTATTTTTGGTGACATCCTTTGGCGGACGCAGAAGAGGCTCTGGGGTCTTTGCGGTCTTGGTCCAGTCCACAAAGGTTTCTCCACGAAGTACCGTAAACGTGTTTGTAGCTCTCGTGGTGTCTAGTTGTTTGAGCCACTGTCGCTTCTAGGTGCACTAAAAAGAGGAAGTCCTAAAGAAAGCCTTCGTTAAGAAGTATCGACGCTATTAGGTTCGAGGCCATCGCTCTTAGATTGGAGGCCATCGCAAGTAGGTTGGAGGCCATCGCTACGAGTAACAAGAAGAATCTCTTTTTCTTTGGTGACATCCTTTGCATCCAACTCATCTGCAGGCAGGTCCCGAGTTCACCGATGGCTTTTCGAAGTTGCAACATGGACAGCCGCCCATCATAGAGACCATGGCCGCTCAGAGAAAATGTCCAAGATGCACTGATTCGTGCAATCCTGTTAGCTTGAGTGATTAAGTGCTCAAATCTTAGCTCTTCTCATGGTGATGGAATTGGTTGCCAATCTGGAATGTGATGAACAAGTGCTCATTACCGCAAGCTTGCCAATCTTTCTTGCTCTTTCTACTCATTACTTGTTCTTCACATGAAAGAAGAGGTGACCTTTGATTCTTTCTGGAAGAGCTAAGAAAGGTGACGAAGGCGACGAAGGGCAACCCCTAGGAGAAGAAGGAAAGGCAACTAAAGAAGAAAAGATTAAAAAAATAATGATAAGAAAACCAAAAAAGGCCTTATTAAAGGGGGCCTTGCCTTCTTTGTTTCCTTTGTCTTCCCTTCTCATCTTCGTCTCCACTCAAGGTCTTGGTACCTGGCGTCCAAGTCGAGCAATTGGGAAAGCTGAAGGCTAGTGACGTTGCGAATGGTAGAACAACACCCATGTAATTGAACCGTTCTTCCTTTTTCTTGAATCCTGTTCTTTCTTTTGATCGGTACAAACAACGCTTCATGTTCTTGATTCAGACCTTTAGACCTGCGGTGATCAGCCACTGGTTTTCTCCACCCGACAGCCACGCTGCAGTCGGGACCGGACTCGGACTCCCGCTTCATGTCGCGGAGAGAGTATGTGCAGCTGGTTGAAGCAGAGGCTTGGGGCTTGGGGCGTCATAATTTGTTCTTTTCCATGGTTCCTGTAGACCAGACCTGTGGTGTTAATTCTAATTTGTTACTACTAGTAAGGCACTTGTTCCTAGTAGCTTCTTGTTACTAGTAGTAAGGCACCTGTTAGTAGTAACAATGGTTCCTGTAGACCTTTAGACCTGTGGTGTTCCTTTTTTTGTTTTCGCTTCTCGAGATCGAAGTTGCAACATGGAAGCTATTCAAGTCCGTGGCAAGAGATCCACCCCCCATGCTCGCGCGCCGTTATTTGAAGACAATCAAAGTAATCAGCATTCTGAATCAGTTGCAGTTCAGACACATACAGTCAGAAACTAGAGTTTTGAAGCTCATGGGCAGAAGACTTGGCTTTGTCAATGCAAAACATTGTGTGACAGTCCCAGTGCACGCAAGAATTGTTCAAAGCGACCATCTCAGGGTACAATTCCAGAAGATCAGAAGCTCAGTGTCAGGACCAGAAGATCAGTGTCAGCTTTAGCGTAGATCGCCAGAAGCTCAGGATGTATTGTTGTGGAATGTCAAGTGGCTTACGACTGCTGCTGCTGCTGCTACTACAACTGCTACTAGAAGCAGTACCAACAAAAGTGTTGTCATAGCTAGTTCTACAAAAAGACCTCCCAAGGTCGCCGCCATTTGGCGAGCTCCAGCAAGTGAGAAAGCCTGGGCCCCGGTGTTCTTTTTTCATTCTTCTCCACCCTAATAGCGATAGCAATGGCCTCCAACCTAATAACAATGGCCTCCAACCTAATAACAATGGCCTCCAACCTAATAGCAATGGCCTCCAACCTAATAGCAACGGCCTCCAACCTAATAGCGATGGCCTCCAACCCCCCTGCGGTGGCTTCCAACCTAATGGCAATGGCCTCCAACCTAATAGCACTGGCCTCCAACCTAATAGCAATGGCCTCCAACCTAATAGCAATGGCATCCAACCAAATAGTAATCGCCGCCAACCTAATAGCACTGGCCTCCAACCTAATAGCACTGGCCTCCAACCTAATAGCACTGGCCTCCAACCTAATAGCACTGGCCTCCAACCTAATAGCACTGGCCTCCAACCTAAAAGCGATGGCCTCCAACCAAATAACCTGATAGCACTGGCCCCCAACCTAACAGCAATGACCTCCAACCTGCCTCCAACCTTCATAGCAACCGCCTCCAACCCAATAGCACTGGCCTCCAACCTAATAGCACTGGCCTCCAACCTAATAGCAATGGCCCTCCAACCTAATAGCAATGGCCTCCGCCCTAGTAGCAATGGCCTCCAACCTAATAGCAATGGTCTCCACCCTAGTAGCGATTGCCTCCAACCTAATAGCAATGGGCTCCACCCTAGTAGCGATTGCCTCCACCCTAGTAGCGATGGCCTCCAACCTGAGAGCGATAGCCTCCACCCTAATGGCAATGGCCTCCACCATAGTAGCGATGGCCTCCACTTTCCAACAAACTCGTTTTCTCTTCCACAGCTTTGTGGATTCTTTGGGGGGAGTCGCTTGGAGCAGTGGTCGAGTAGTTGTAGTTGTTTGTTGTTGTTTGTGTCTTTGTTATGTGTTATTCATTCTTCTCCAACCTAATAGCGATGGCCTCCACCTTCCTCAAGATGTTTTCCTCTTAACTTTTCTTTGTTGGATGTTCAAGGGTTCCCTTCGCGCTCCCTCCGCTCTACATGTTGTTCTACTCGAACTTGTTGGGTACTGTAGCCGATTCCTGTTGTGCTTTGCAGAAGACTGCATGAAGCTCAGATTTTGGTAGTTTCTTGATTTTGAGGGGTATCCTAGGATGACTTCAATCATTCTGACTTACGTAGATTGTGTAGGGTGTCATGACATCTCACACCAAGCCAAGAAAGATAATTTCTATTGCTATGTGTTCTCGCGGTTGGTAGCTGCGTTGGACACCAGTTTACGGCCTTCATTTGGGAAGCACAACGAGTGCCGGAGGCAGACTGAAAGCTGCAGACTGCCAAAGATGGAAGCTGCCCCAGCCATGTGTTCTTCGCTCCCGTTTGGAGCGAAGATGAGCATTTTACGTTGCGAAGATACACAGGTTTTGCTGCCCAATTCATACATATTCATGCCAGTCTTGCTGAGGGAAATAGTGTGAAGGCACAAAGGTGGTTTTGTAGGAATTGGTTTTAGTGCTTTGACAGTGCTGGGTGATGCCTCACATGTGCCGTGATGACACGCGGTTTCGTAGTGTGTAGGCCACTAGGAATTATTCCACTCACAGCATACTTATGTGAGTGATGGCAGGGAAGATGACTGCTTTAGCAACACTTTGAGCAAAAAGTGATGGAAACAAACATGTTCTACATCACCAAACCACTTAGTGTCTTAGGCGATTCTGGCCCTGAAGGCCTTGGCACAGCCCTACCGTACTTAATAACGTTGAATGTTTTCTGGTCGCCCCTAGTAGCGTTCTCGTTCCTAGTAGTAAGGCCAGGAGCCCCTAGTAGCGTCCTAGTAGCGATGCCAGGAATCACTCCCAGAAGACAACTGCATTGCAAAGTCATTTTCCCCGCCCCTCCGTGCCAGCGCTCAACTGCGCAGCACTGGCGGCACGGGGGGCGGCAGCCGTGAAATGCGTTTCACCGAGAGTGGCACCAAGACAAGACTGCGATGCAAACATCGATCCAATGGCTTCTGAGAGACATCCAGTACCGTCATGAATTTATGTGGCTGAGACAGTTGAAGAACATGTGCATTCTGAAGTAGAAGAAACGGCATTTCAGAGCGAAAAGGGTAGAAAGAAAAGATTGTAACTTGCCGAAAGAAAAGAATACGGCCTTGATTGCAAAGTGAATGTGGAGCGCTGGGCCCTGCTTGCTCGATCCACCATGTTCAGCTTGTGACCTCCACGCGTGTGTTGTCGCGATCTGAGCTGGAGGTGTGAAACGACAAAGAGAAGAAGAAGAAGAAGAAGAAGAGGAAGACGAAGAAACCGTTTAGCAAAGAAGGAAGCAGACAGCCTGCGGGCATTACAGTGATCTTGTAAATAGAAGCATCTCGTGCCAAACAGATGCAAATTCGTGATTCAAGACCGTGTATTTAGAAGCATTCTTGTTGGGTGAAAGGTGTTTATGGGTGCTTGGTTCAACTAGCATTCAATTGTATATATAGAGTGTGGAAGATCTCTTGCTTGAAAAATCCTTGTTAGGCAGGAAGCATTTGTGTTGAAAACATGTTGTAACAAATGTGAATGCACTAGCAGTTGCATGTTTTGAGCAGAAGGTGGAGAAGGACTCACCCTTTCCATTTGTATCCGCGGCGGCAAGCATTGTGTTGGTCCCAACGATGCGTACAGTCCGAGCAAGACCTTCCGCTACTCGACGGTCGATCACTTAGAAGGTGTTGTCAAAACGGTGCGGAGCCCAAGCTTTGAGATTCTGAAAGAAAAGAAAAGAAGCTACTAGGAACAAGTGCATCGCTTCTAGTAACAAGTGCCTTACTAGTAGTAACAATGTTAAAGATGTTTGAAAACGATAAATAACTATAGTGTAAAACATAAGAACCAAGAAGAAGACGAGGAAGAGAAGAGCGCGGTACTACTCAAGGCTCGGGAACAATCTCTGTAGGACTCGAACCGTGTAGAGGTATTCACGCAATGAAGCATATCCAGGTAGGATACGGAAATAGTTTGCTATTAGGTTTGAGGCCATTGCTATTAGGTTCGAGGCCATCGCTCTTAGGTTCGAGGCCATCGCAAGTAGGTTGGAGGCCATCGGTAGTAGGTTGGAGGCCACTGCTATTGGGTTGGAGGCCATTGCTGTTAGGTTGGAGGCCACCGCTTCTAGGTTGGAGACCATGGCTAGTAGGTTGGAGGCCATTACCATTGCCATTAGGTTGGAGGCCATGGCTTCTACGTTACTTGGAGGCCATTGTCATGTTCACTATTGGTAAATTCTTCTGCTTGCGCCGGCAAACCTCCGCAGCTTTTGCACTGCCTAGAGGACTTTTCGTGTGACAAGCGTTGGACGTTCAGCCCGACGAATTCTGCCATGGAGATAATGAATTACCACAAGACTTTTCTTGACCTGAGCTTTGCAGAGGTGCACCTGCTTGGGAGCACGAAGGATGTTGAAAGGTGAAAGACATGTCAAAGGATGTTCTGGTGACTTTGATAACCTGGAAATGGCCGAGGGTGGTCACACTACTAGGAGCTCTTGCGGTACTAGTTAAGGCTAGGTTTGATCCAGGGTGCTCATATCCGTCTCTCTTGCCGCGATAACTTGAAGCCTTCTGCTTTGGGTATGTCAAGAAGGCGAGAGGAACTGAACAGAGCCTTGATACCTTGTTTAAACCCAATTGCTTTGAGGATTGCCCGGGAAAGGAGAGCCCTGGGCAAGTTGCCTGTATGTTGGCAGAAGAATCTTGGACAAAGAACCGATAAAGAGGTCGATCCATTTGGCGTTCAGAAAGAATACATTCTACGGCTGCCAAACTGCGCCCGGTTTCCAGATGACGCAGACCTTTCTTCGAATTTTCCGACAACTGTCCAGTCGAACGTCTTCCCCTCACCAACAAGAGCGGCCGTTCAAGGTCGTGTAATCTTCCAAATGTCCACTTCTGGACCATGTTTTTCTCTCAACCTTGTTTCCTTTCTTCTTACCGAATGCCTGTGTTTGCGTGAAGTTATTTATGTTTTGGGCCAGGTTCCTACGATGCGACGTAGCCAGAGCCTTCCGCCTGCGACATTTTGGGCCGCAAGCAGAGCCGACTTCTCAAAGACCGCATATGTGCCGCGGCATGCCACGGCCCAACAGGCGGTTCGAAGTTCGAATCAAGCCTGTCTTTCAGACCTTAGGTTGGAGGCCATCGCTAAATAGAAAGAGTTTGCCAAAAAAACACAGAGGGGGCATGATGTAAGAAGAAAATGCCCAGGAAAGGAAGGCGAAGAAAGAAAGAAACACTTACAGGAATACTGGTTGCTTGCTGTTGGTCGTTGGCTCAGTTCCCACAAACCAGAATCCTGTTCCTTCCTTCGCGGTAGCTGTTTTTACAGCCGGAAGAGTTCTCTAGTCGGGTTCCTGCAAGTGTTCCTTTGTTGTCCTTTTTGTTTTCCTTTTGTTTTGCGCTTTCCTTCTGTTTTCCTTCAGATGGTAGAGGATCCAGGACCAGGGATTGTCGCATACCTTCGCCGCCTACGAATGCTTCTTATGTGTCTTGCTCTCGCCGTGCCTCATCTCAGGCTGAGTCCCTCATGTGCCGTGCAGCTGAAGCCTTTTCGTGGCCGGTTCACGTCAACGAGAATTTGGGCAGCCTTGGTCATCCAGAGATCTGCGGAAGTCCCTGCATTCGCCCCTTGATCCAATTCGATGTTGAGACGTCGACTTAATTGAAACCGTTGGAACTGATTAAGGTTTCAATGAAGCTGCGGTTTGCCGCCTATCATAGTGCGACGGAGACCAAGCAAGTTTCACATGTTGTTGATTGAGGAAATTCCATGTGACGAAGCGCGTCCCCACAACCCATGTCAATAACAAGATTCATGACCATGCCATCGCCCGCTACACTGCTACACTGCATTCAAGATCATTCAAGATCCAGACTCCTTTGGTGTCGATTCACTCAAACCGCCGTCGTTTTCGCACCAAGCGTTGCGTAAGGCTTTTACTATGGAAGCTGCAAGAAGGCTGGGTGCAACCAATGGCTAGATCGAGCTTTGGACTTCTGAGGGGACCCAGAACGATACAAGAGGTGATTAGTTTATGCCTTTTCAAGCAAATCTGTTTAACAAATGCTACCGGTTTCTTCGTTACAAACAGACCAGCGCGGAAGCTTGTTTGTTCAGACCCTGCAAACCATGTCATCAGGGCATGGACTGCCAATTCTGCCATTTGGAACACGAGGCTCAGCTGCAAAGAGGAGTTATATTTTGAAGGGATTTCTCCTTGCAAAAACTGATATGCCCGACAACAATGGTGTTCGGTGCAAAAACAAGAAGACGCAGTCTATTTAGGCTTATTTGCCAACAGCCGAGCCATCCCACCAGTTTCTTGTGTGCCGCTGTAGTAGGGGGATACCATGTGACATTCATGGATTCCATTGGATTTCCTCACTAAGGAGGCCTCCAAGAAGAAGTTGGACAAAATGCAACGGCATTGCTTCGAGTCCATGACAGAAGCGCAGGCACCGCGGAAGCAAATGCTTCGTTAGTGGGCCCTATAAACATTGCTAAGAAATGTTGCACAGGGTTGCTGTGTCACCAGTCGTTTTGTGCTGGGTGTCCTGACAACAGAGAGAAACTAGCAGGAATGAGTGCAGATTCTTTTTCAGAAAGTTCAGAAGCGGGATATCATGTTTCCACACCGTGTGGAAACAGACTCCAAGGAAAGCTCAGGATCCGGTACCTAGTTTTTTTGTTTTCTTTGGACCTTTCTTCTCGTAGTTGTTTCTTTATATAGATCTTAATTTTATGTCATGTTCTTTCGATCTTTATTTTCTTTAGACAATTTCGCTTTGGTTATTTTTTCTCTAGACCTTCTACGTTTTCCTCATTTAGATCGTTCTTTTCCTTTGTTCAGTTTTCCTTTAGACATTTTGGCAAGTTTATGCATTGTTTTCTCTAGACTTGTGTTTACCTTCATTCTTAGTCTATGGATCCGGTGCTGACTTTCCTTTCAAAAGGTCGAGTCTTTGTTGTCTAGTCTTTCTTCATCCTGTTTGCTTGTTTGGGTCTACAAGGTTCTGGCCGTGCTCCTCTTCCACATGGAGAGACGATGTCAGAAGAAAGACATCACAGATCAGATGATTCTGATCTTGAGCTGCGTGCGACGGCGCTTGAAGCTTCTTCCAGAACCCCAACTCACTCCTGAGACTTGGTAGAATCTTGAGAAGACCGGGAGACGCAGAAGGGAGTGTGTTTTGTTTGCCAAGCTATGTGCCATGAACACAGTCGAGGAGATGACAGCGACTTTATCCAAAGCCTTCAACAAGTTGACCGTTGGGCGATTGCTGGATTTGGTGAAACAGAGCCGAAGCGTCTCCCACCCTTTCAAAGCCGAGCTCCAAAGCATTGTGGCGCGCACAGCCTGCTGTGCCCGATGAGTGATACACATGGAGCCTCGAATGAACAAAACCTGCCATGG